TTCCAAGTCTAGATTATGATATATCTGTCTCGCCTGCGTTCCGGCGAGTAAAAGTCAAGCGCTTCCAAAAGTTCCCAGTAGCTGAGGTGTTTGATAGAACATATAAGTGTAGCAAACTTTCTATGTACGCTCTGGAGATCTGAAATTTCACCTTCTTTGAACGGAGATGTTAATGTACAGTAATATTCCAGCCTAGAGAGAACAAATGATTTGAAAACGATCATCATTAGCTTGGCATCTCTTGTTCTGAACGTCCCCGTTATCAATCCTTACATTTTCTTTGCAGTTGTGTTCGTGGCACTGTTGTGATCCTTGAAAGTGAGATCCTCAGACATTACCACTCCCAGGTTCCTCACAATATTTTTTTATTCTATTGTATGATCAGAGTTTGTAGTATACTCAGTTCTAGTTATTATCTCCTCCAGTTTTCCATAAGTGAGTAGTTGGAAATTATCTTCATTGAACATCATATTGTTTTCCGTTGCCCATTAGAAATCTTGGTTTATATCTTCTTGGAGGTTAACCGTGTCCTCAGTAGATGACAGTCTCATGCAGATCTTAGTATCGTCTGTAAAGGATGACACGGTACTGTGGATTACATCTCTAAGTCTGACATGAGGATGAGGAACAGGATGGGGGCGAGTACTGTGCCTTGTGGAACAGAGCTTTTCATTATGGTAGCTTCCGATTTAACTGTTGACCACAACTCTCTGTGTTCGATTGGTTAGAAAGTTGAAAATCCATCTCCCAATTTTACCACTTATTCCTTTAGCACGTATTTTGTGCGTTATTACGCCATGTTCGCACTTGTCAAAGGTTTTCGGAAGGTCTGTGTATATTACATCTGCATTCTGTTTTTCTTCCAGTACATCTAAGATCATATCATAGTGATCCAGTAGTTGCGAGAGGCAGGAGCGGCCCTCTGAACCCATGTTGCCCTGGATTGTGCAGTTTATGGGAATCCAATCGTGTTTCTTAGCACTCTTTCAAAGGTTTTTGTGATGTGGGACGTTAGAACTATTGTTCTATAGTTCTTATCTAATGCTTTGCTTCCACCTTTTTGGAGTGGGGCTATATCCGTTGTTTTTAGTGACTCTGGAATTTCACCCATGTCTAAGCTCCTCCATAGTATACTTAGGGCACGCGAAAGGGGTTTCTTGCAGTTCTTAATGAACACGAATCTGGGCTCGGGGTTGAGTACGTGGGCATGTTGTCAATGGCTTTCTCAAAGTCTATCGGAGTTAGGGTGATGTCGGAAATCTGGCATACATTGATGGAATTTTGAGGTTCATTCATAAAAAAATTCTTTGGATCGTCTATCTTTAGACTGATCAGTGACTCGCTAAACACAGAGTCGTGTTGTGGTTTCAGTATCTCATTTATTTCTTTGTTGTCATGTGTGTAAGTTCCATCTTGTCTGAACATGAACCACGTACTAGACTGGTATTTGTCTTGTTTTTGGCATGTGAAAAGCAATATTTCTATTAATAGCATATTAACCTAGGTTAATTAACAAAGCATTAACCAAGGTTGATAATTAAGATATTAATATAGGTTGATTAATAAAATATTAAGCTTGGTTGAGTAACAGTATTTTAAAATAGGTTTATTAACAATATATTACTCTCAGGGATGCCGCACTTTATGACCCAAGTGGGTTTAGCGCTTCTTTTTTATTATAATAATATTAATCTCAGGTTATTTGACATAATACCTAGAGGATGCCTCTTCTGGTCGACTTCAAACTTCCAGAGCGGGTACCATGTGATCTCCAGGCTATATCCTGAAAATGCCTCTTCAGATAGGCTTCAGACTCTCAACACTGGTATATCGTATGCAATGGAATTATTTTTTATGGGAAGGGGTTCTATATGGGTCATTTTTCTCGTTTCAATTAACAATTTTTTATTTTTTTAATTACCGTGTTTTAACCTTGAGAATGCCACTTCATATCGGCTTCAAACTTTCAACGCCAGAGCGTCTTAGAAATAAAAGCCAAAATAATACCGAAATAAAGGCTTTAATTTTTAGTGGACTTTTGAAGGTGTAACTCAAGTAATTTAATGGAAAAAAATTATTGTAAAAAAATAAAATGACTGCAGAGCCTTTTAATTACCGATATAATTCATAAATAATTCTCTTTCGTGAAATCTAATATAATTCTTAAATAATTCCCTTTCATTAAATGCTAAAGTAATTCATGAAAATTCCCTTTCATTAAATGCTTATATAATTATTGGAGAATTCCCTTTAATTAATCACAAATATAATTCCTGCACAATTCTCTGGAATTTAAAACAAATATTAATCTCAAATAATTCCCATCAGCAGTGAAGATATGGAATTTTTTGATCTAATATGTCAGAAAACTTTGATGATTAAAATTTTAAACTAAGTTTTCTAAAGAATTTTCTGAAGCACAAGTGGAGTGGAACAACTGGAGTAAGTGTGACAGGTGGAGTGGAACAACTGGAGTGTGACAGATGGAGTGGAACAACTG